TACTTGTCAACCTTTTATTTTTCTCTTGCCAATTCAAGGAGATGCTGAAAACGATACATTTGGCATTCTCTACCCCCAACCTCAACATTATCGTAAGTAGCTTCCTCTGCCCATAGAGCTCATGTACTTTCTCTGAAGAATCTTTTACTTAGTCTTCTATAATCGAATTGGTCTCAGAGACTGGAGCAGGATGGTAACTACAAATACTTGAACAATAACAAAGATATAAAATGTCACAACATACTATTGTTTTCCTTATTATATCAACTACACATTTTTAAATATTTCGGGTAGAGAACCTGTATGTTTTTCTCTGACAATAACTCTGCAGGACCAAAGTAGTATGCAGACAAACTAGTCATGATTCCAAGACATGTCCTTAACCAATCTTTAAAATGTTATTAATAATGGAATCAGAAATTGCAAGGTAAACCTTGATCTGATTTTTTCCCCAAATCTGATCCCAAACAGCTTGCTTTTAAAACCTAGGTCCTTCTTTCCCTTGAGATAGGATTCTACTCTGTATTCTATGGCTGAGGTGTTGAGGGAAGAAAGAAAAGCCTCGTGATGAAAATCTGACATTTCATTGAGAAGTGGTGTCGCCCATCTCACCCACACGAATCTCTGACTCCTTTGCCTATCAAATAGAAAAACAGCTACATTTGAGTTCCCTTCCTCCCCACCATTTTAGGTAAATACACACCTTAATTAAACTGTTCTGCTAAGGCAATGGCAATATCTACGTCTTCTCTAAGAGGGTTGTTCTACCAATAAATGAGCCTTGCAAAAATATCTCCCTAGTTTTGCTGGGGAAGACAGTCAGCCATGTAACCACCTTGCCCAGCCTTTTCTAATCAACTCAAAGTCAAACTCAAGTGTTATAATCCTAGAATGTTTTTGATGGTTCTCCCTTGGTCTGCCCACAGGATTCTCCTGAAGTTTGGGGCTTAAATGTTCTAAGAGCAATGCAAAGTGTCTTAATGCCCAGAAATAATGCAGGGGCAATGACCCAGATATAGAAGGGTTCATGCAATATAGCCAAGTTCAAAATGACATGTGGATACCATGTTTCCACCTTTATCCCCCATTAGGGTGTTTCTTAAAGAATATTCTTTTTATTCTCCCAAGACAGGTTAAATAAAAAAACATGGAGGTACTTATTATGATTTCATTCATCTAGCTCACAAAATGTCATTTATTTTAATATCTGCAACTAGTTATGGATAAAGACCATCCTTCAATCACTTTCTAAGTATGTAGTAGTTCTGAGCACTGATTCGTATCACACAACATCAGTAATATAACATATACATATAGGTAGCTCACCATATTGTGCTCACGATGAATACAAACACAGACCTTAAAAATCTTCCATATACTAGGTCTGATCTGACTATTTTGTTTTAACACCTGTGAGGTTAATACAACAGGATTGCTATAGAATATGCAAAAACAAAACTGCAATTTTATATAACAATTATGTAAGCATTATTTACAGAAAGAAAAAAAAATGTAAAACCTTCTGCTAAGGGCATGCAAATAATTAAAGCACTCCATTCATAAATCTATACCTAAAGGAAAGTCATTCCACTAGTTAATTTCACGATTTACCAAGATGATATTTGTTACTATTTTGTGTTTCATTAACTTTGATAAGTAAAATATGAATAGTCTTTCTGGTCTCTAAGTTGGGAAAGTAAAAGTAAATAACACTCATATTTTTTGGTATTAAGGAAGTCATGAAGTGGGAACAGCAATGCCCTAAGAGAGCTTCCAATGCAGGAACCAAATTAGTGCTGAGTCACATATACCACATTCAGGAAAGACCCCACATAATGACCTAAAGTTCTTGGATTTTTTTCTTAGGTGGTTGCAAAAAGCACAATTTCTAAACTTGAACCCTTGCCTTTCTGCTCCTCATCTGATTAATAAAAGTCAATGAAGGATAAGGTGAACTAAATTGCCTTGACTCAGTCCCAAAGCGTACACTTCACAGTCTAGCTGTTGCAAGGCTGGGATCATTTGAACCCTCGACTTTCCTGCAGAAGATACCTCCATCTTGACATTCATGCCTGAAACAGCTGCAGGTTTACTGGGCCTACAGTACAGGTCACAGTCATTCCAGAAGCTTCCATGTGAATGATGAGACCAGTAGCCTCAGAGCTGCCCAGGGCACAGCCCGGCCAATGAACTTGCCTACATACACCGGTATTAGGCCATTAAACTGGAAAATGACTTTGCAACAGTTGATTTTATATTGGTAGAATCACCATTAAGTTAAATGTTCTCCATCTCGGAAGAAGTCAAATTTTAAAGGATACTCCAATACACAGCTAATAAGATATACAGAGCAAAAACATGTATTGCAGTAAACAACATGGGTGAAGCAAAAATTAAGGAGTCTACCTTCATCCCTCATCCCGAACTCTCTACACCAATGGGTCCTTAAGCAACTGTCCCGTGAAACATCACCGGGGACACAGGCAGGGAGGCGTGGCACTTGGTGCAAAGAAATCACAGGCATTTTCTGAACCCCACCCTAGTATTCAGAACTGACTTCTACCTTATCTTCCAAGTTCCACATTTCCCATTCCTTGTTGACTACACAGGTTTTTATCAGGTATTTGCAAGTGAAGGAAGGGAAGGAAGGGAAGGGAAGGGAAGGAAGGAAGGAAGGAAGGAAGGAAGGGAAGGAGAAAGAATTCATCCCTGTCCTCAAGAATCCACCAGATTCCACCGTGAATCCACTTGAAGGAAAATATGGAAACCATCTTATGCTTGCAGACCACTGAGGTATTGCAGAATGTGATACAGATAAGGGTCTATGGCCTCAAGAGGCCCCTGAAAGGAGGGAAGAAAACTAAGCCTAGAGAAGGCTCTTCTTGTTACTACCGTTTCCCAACCTCTTCCTACCCACAATTCTAATATTTCATTTAGAGGAGTATACACACCTCCGTAACTAGTGGTAAATAAAATCAAATGATAAAAAAATTCTAATTTCAACAATTTCAAGATTATCTAGTACAACCGTACTTGGAGACCTGACTTTCTTGAAAGCATCCCTACCAAGGCACCTATACATCCCCCTAGAGACAAAGATTTTGAACATACTCTAAATTCCAAATGTGAACAGCCCTATTTGGTTCTCTTCAATGAAGGTGATTTTTTTCCCCCTTTCTCTCTCCTGCACTCTGAATCCACACAGAATGTATCTAATCCTTTTCTCACATGAGGTCTTCAAATACAGAGAAAGGACATTAACATCCTTTCTAAATCCCGGGTTTTCCAAACTAAACGTCACCAAACCCTTCATCCACTCCTCATGTGATATGATTTCTAGTTCCCACACCAGTATGATTATTGTATTCTAAATGATATCCAGTTGTCCATGTTTCTCTTGAAGTATGCTAAGTTGAGTGAGACCAATCCCAGGAGCAGAAGAGCTCAGTAGCCTCATTCTAGATCCCCCACTCTCTCAATGATGCCAACTATTGAACTGATGTTTGGAACAACCATTATATACTTACTCTATTTACATTAAGCTTCCGTTCAATTCAAACTCCTAAGTTTTGTGTTTTAAAGTAGTTTTAAGGGGTACCTGGGTGGCTCCATGGGTTAAGCCTCTGCCTGTGGCTCAGGTCATGATCTCAGGGTCTTGGATCAAGCCCCACAGCTAGCTCGCTGCTTAGCAGGGAGCCTGCTTCCCCCTCTGTCTCTGCCTACTTGTGATTTCTGTCTGTCAAGTAAATAAATAAAATCTTTAAAAAAATAATAAAGCAGTTTTAAATTCTTGCAGCTCCTAAGTCACCCTTCCTTGAGGACTCTGGACACAAATTTCAGAGTGAATTGAGAAGATAATAATCGGACGCTACTGTTTGGACCATTTCTTTCACAGGCTAAGTCTTCTGCATTGACTGCTTCAGACTATGAACAGGAGTCATCCTGAAGCACATCAGAATTTCACTATATGTAAATACAGATTTATATTTGTATTAGTATATTTATATTTATTATTTATATATATTTATATATATAGCACTGCTCATACAAAACTTATAAAGGAGATTCTGAACAAAGCATGTATAGGAAAAGAGGAAATAAAAATTTGAAGATCTAAGGAGAAATATCCTTTCTGTATCCCTGAAGCTAATCTACTGCCAAGGTAACTCAAAATGTTGCACGCACGATAGAATAGCAAATCCCAAGGTGTACTTCAACAAACATCAGTTATATAGCAACTTAAGGGATATTAATGGAGAAACGGCAAACATCAAAATAAACAAAAATGAACCAAGTAAGGCTGTACAGGGCCTTAAATTTGCAAGTAATAACTGTGACATCTCAGACCTAATGAATTATCAAAATTGTCTCCAAAGACTGTTAAAAATCATCAATTTCTGGACCTCACCCTGAAAATTCTGATTTAGTAAGAATGTGTCCTTCAAACAGGGGTCTCAGAGGATTTTTGAAGTTGCCAACCCATGAACCAGCTCAGAGAATCCCTGGGGTTTGACGACGGGGGATCTGATGTTAACAGTTTTTCTGGATACCTATCATCAGAAATAATAAGCTAGGTCCAATGAAAAGCATAGCCAAGTTTTCCAAATAAGCTGCCGAACTATCCCAAACATGTCTGTTTCTCTAATTCCGTATCAAAAATGTACCTCACATAGTTTCAAAAAAAGAAAAGAAAAAGCAAGCTCTGGCCATGTCAACACATTTGTCCTGGAAGCAGAAACAGTGAAGGACAATTATCCCTGGATATGTCCAAGTCGCCGCAAAGTCTTAAAGAAAAAAATGGTTTTTGAGTAAGCGAGAGGCAGGGTTTGGGATGAATCTTATCTCGGACTAAATGACTCTGCAGTTCCATCCTAATGACCCTCACATTGCCTTGTCATGGAATTCACTGGCAAAAATCAATTATGATTATTCGTCTCCTTTTACTTAAAATACACTTTCAAATTTCATTCTGAGAAAGCTTGTAATTTGGGGAGGCAAACGTTAAGATTGAAAGCGTTTATGAATACAAACTCAAGCAAAAACAACTGAAATTTGGCAGCACATAAAAATGTCACATTACTGTCACAACAAAAGTTGGCTCTTCCAAAAACAATATATAGCTCCAAAGACACACACATATATCCACTTACAAGTGCAGCACACACACAGTCATTCTGGGAACAGCCAGCTACTATACATTTTGCATCAACGGAATAGTGCAATTTATCTCAATTATTACAGCACAAATAATACTTGCCCTCCCTTTCTCATTAATATTCTCTCAAGGGATGGCTCTCTAAAAAGAAAAAAATAAATTGGTAAAAATTTCATAATTCTAAGAATCAACAACGGCCATCCACATAGCCAATATCTAAAAATATTTTTTTAAATAAAGACTAAACACGTGCATTTTGCTTAGTAAAACACAAGTAAGTTTCTTTCTAATTACCTGCAAAATGTGACTTCCCAAATGTGCTTCAAATACTTCAATGGCCAGTGCACTGGGGCTTCTCCTTCGTTGTGCACCTATAACTTATTAAAAAACAAAGAAGAAGAAAAAGAGAGAAAAGAAAAGAAAGAAGAAAACAAATTAAGTTGGAGCTCTGATTCACACCTTTAGACCATTTTCCCGCTGACTACATATCACTAGGTGGTTTACTACACCAAAGAGCTCTGAAAGAAACACAATACAGGGTTCATTTTGATTCTGAGTTGTCTGAGCAAATTTTCAACTCAGAATATTAATTTCTGCAAACATGAAAAACTACATTTAGACTTTTTCCCTTTTCCATGTGCATTTTGGACTGCATTTCCTACACTGGAGCAAAACCACAAATGTTTATATTCCTTTAAAATAAATTAGCAAACCGTTCTTAAAATGTAAGAATTGTTATTTTTAAAGCATACATACACTGCCTGCCCATGTACTGCCCCCTGTCCTGACCCAAACCCCCCAGGACCTAAACTTTTCATACCTTCTAGGCTAGGAAAAAGCAAACAGGATAATTTTTTTATGTTCTAATGCAATAACTTTATCACAATCTAATAAGCACAACATGTCGGATAAGAGATTCTCATTAATGACTGTTTGCACTAGTGTTAAGTGTCTCAGGATGGCTGGATTTCATATTTACTGAACACTCATGTGTAACTAACTATTCCTACAGGACCTACAGGAAGCCCAGGTAGACTCCTGCCTAGCACGTGCCTCACCAGGGAAGGGACTGTTTTCTTATCCAAAACCTTGGGGTCTCCTGCTGACTTACAGTCTGCCAGTCCCTTCCTGGCAGACCCTACAGGTGTTGTCTGCCAGCCCCTCACTCGAGAAGCCTCTACTATTCTTAACAAAGGTGAGCCTAAGGCTGGCTATTTGTGGGATCCAAGATTGAGGGTCTTTCCTTTACTAATTTTCTTTTGCATGAGGTCACCTTTTGCCTTCAACTCTGTTCTGGTTATTCTTCCTTTTTATTTTATTTTATTTTTTTTTTTGAAGTTCTCCACACATAAACATCTGTTTCATGGTAACTTCTGGAAGGAAACATTTAGATCTTTTCCTTATTTCCAATAAATAAATTCCTCAAGTTGTCCTGTTTTTCTTGCAAATTTTATTATGAATCTCAACCTTCCTCAAACCTACACACTCTGAACTGAAATGAGACCGAAACCCCACTTCCTTATTTCTAAAAAACAGTTTCAGCTAGTTGACAAGAAAATTCCAGCAAAATGCTGCTGGGGTAATTCTGCTTCATTTTAGTTACTCAGTCGGTTGGCTCCATAGCTTAGTAGGGATTATAATATAAATGTACTTATGATTATTGTGCTGTGCAGAAGCAAGCAGTTTACCCCTGCCATTGTGAGTCAGTGTCTGTAATGTCTGAAAGGCACTTTGAAAATAGCGTGAGTGTTAAGTATCATTGTGACTGGCAAGAGGAAATAAAAGGGGCATTTTTTTTTCAATGGGAAAATTTATAAAATATAATTGAAGAGTGATTATTATCAAAGAATATTCCAGCTGGAAGGGATCTTAGAAACCTCTATTCTAACTTTCTCATTTGCTTCAGAAGCAAAACACACAATAATTTTAAAATAGAAAAATCAGTTTTCTATCCTAACATTAATCTTTGCTATAAGTATAGACTTGAGATTTTTAAAAATTTAATATTCAGATATATTTAAGACACTACTGCTGTATGTGTATGTGCACATTTCTGATTAATTTCCTATTCTAACATGCACATTACTCCCTTCAAAACTCCTTTGGCATTTTTGATAATGCAGCTGTCTTGCTGAATACTGTTTTCAGTTTCTAGAGTGTTAATTGCACATTATGGTAGCGTGGTGTGAATGATCCCACATGAATAAAATCTGCAGTCTTTTTTTTTTTTTTTTTTTAAGATTGTTGTGGGGAGCTTCTGGGAGGGAGGGGAGGCAGTTGAAAAACTTCAAAAGTGTCCAGTCTCTTTTTGAGGCAATAATTAGGACCCAGAAAGCTCCTTATTAATAATAGTTCATCATTTGTGGGCATTTCAGGACTTTCAGTTCTGAAGTTCAAAACTGAACAGAGGAAATGTCCTGGTTTTGGAGAACGTAGACCATTCTGCAAAAAGCTGGATGAAGAAGAGGCCAGGAGAGCAACAGTCACCAACCTAGAGAGGACCTTAAAACATCACGGCAAGTATAAGGAGCGTTTTATTTACTAGGAGGCCCAAGAGGCATGCTCCAGTAACAACAGATGGCAGCCCAACTGCCTTCTGGAAGCACAGAATATTGACTTCAGTGGGGTGCTTACAGGGGTTATTCAAGTCTGGCCACTGATGATGGCTTTTCTTTTCCTGCCTTTTCTTCACTTAGGGCTCAGGCTATTCTTTAAGTAAATTCTGCAAATACATAAATAATTAGGAATTTTATTTTTTCAAAAAAAATTTATTCATCAGCCTAGGGATCCCACACACCTTCACCAGTGTTACATCCATGAGCCCTACCTGCCTAGTTACCCTTCTTTGTTCCTCAGGTCCTCCAGAACCTGGAGTGTGCCTCCCCGTACATGCTAGCATCAGACACAAGTGTCTTGTAAGTGGTTTCATGCTATTCTATTCAATGGCATTTTTATGGCACTGGAACTTCTCTTGATTTATATGTTTTGCACTTATGCAGGTGATGTGGGGCTGTAATGACAGTTCCTAATTTTACAGCCAACATAAATATGTTAAACAGGAGCCCATTATGCCCGTGGTAGAAGCCCTGCTCTGACTCCAGCATTACTGGTAACGAAGCGATGTTAAATATGCACTTCTTGTTTTGTACTTTTCATCCTATCGCATTTGGGGACCTGAGACAATCATCCACTTTCTCAGGAAAGATGCAGGTACAGTTATCTTGTTGCCTTATGTTAATCATGTTAATCTCATGTTGCTAATGGAATATCATTAATGCCTAAGGAGACCCAAAGAGGTCCATCATTTTCAGAGAAAGAATAGACTGCTTATGAGGTATTCTCTATTTTTTGTGTTTTGGGCATCAGCCATTTCTAGAACGATTCAGTAGTCCAGACAAGTGCACACTTACTGATGAAGGGGTCATGGTTTCATCTCATCTACTGACATCGTTTCACGTATTGGTTTGTTTGGTTAAAAGACACTACCTTTTGAAATTTAAAGGACATTATAATTAAGTCGACCAGATAAAACCAAAAGCAACATGTTGCTAAATAAATGGAATATATAATCTCTTATCTGTGAGGAGTATGTCCCTAACTCACTGACAGTGAGGTGTGAGAACTGTGGAAGGTGAACAGCTTATACAAACGGTTAAAAGAAAAATAAATACAATACTTCAACTTCAAATGTGATTCAACATTGACTGAGTACCAACTTGAAATTGAAAATTGCTGACTATTATAGGTTGTTACTGAGTGTTACCTACAATTACTGTAGGTAACTGGTGCTATAAGACCTAATAAGCAGTCCGAAAAAAAAAAAAAATTAAGCAATTCAAAACAAACGTAGGCCCATCACATGATTATGAACCAAACACTGCAACTCTCCTGTTTTGCCAGGGTTAAAAATAAAACACCTAGACTCTGAAGAGACTTTAAATGGAAGCAATATATAGGGTGAACGATTTTTAAAAAACCAACCCAAGAAATCCTGATTGTTTCAGAAATCTAGAAAGATAAGATGAATCATTAGAATGGTGAGTTTGACTTTTCCTTCATTAAAAAAATGGAAGACACATAAGGAAACCACAATCTGAAACACGTTATCTGAACAATTAGTCTTGTCCCTCAACAACGACGGCAAAAATATTCCAATATTGACTCGCATACCTTGTGGGGTGCTCTTTGAGAATTAATTCAGTGCAGTAAAAGACAATCCCTCTTTTGGGAAATACACCACACACACCCCCAGTCATATTCCTAACCAGTGCTTGTCACCTTCGGGGATACACAATCGCCAGGAAGGCTGAGGATTAGCGCTCAGTGGGAGTTTGACCTATTCAGCCAAAAGGTCAGCTTGCCACAGAAGAACCCATTACAAAACAGAAACAGGACAGCTCAGTGGACACACATAATGAAAGGGGGAAAAGTCACGGCCCTACTTGCCTTGTGTCCCGCATTGCCCTTTTCCTTCCTAACTCTCCCCACCCCCATTTCCAGAGAAGGTGGAGCGGCCCCAGCTCCTCACCAGCACAGTTCGCAATGGGAAGGTAAAGGACAGGCAGTCGAGAGAAAGGGGCTTGTTATTTAAGAGAGCATTTGAAAGAGATAATAGAAGCCAAGAGGAGTAGGATATTGTGGGGCAGGGTTTCCAAAGGATCGTTTCATTAGGGAAGAGTCGTCATTGGCAAGTAGGGAAGGCCATTTTAGAGACATTTTCTCACGGGACCCCTCTCCATGGGGAGCAGTATGGCAGAATGGCTAAACGTAGCCTGAAAGTTCTGGGGGTAGTATTTCAGGGATGGAGTCATCCACTTAGTGAAAAGGGAAGCTTCATGGCTGCCCCCTGAACTCATCCTTCAAGGGGCAAGGCTCTGTTCCCACACTGAGCTTGGGGGGTAGGAAGGAGGAGAGGGCATGCTTAATGGAATACCGGACATTGCTCCCTGGGCGTTAGCACTTGGGGCAAGCAAAGTCAGGGTCTGGGAAAGAATGGAGTAGAGAATGCTTAATGAGTCTTTCCATGGCTACGGAAGGAAAGAAAAGGGATTTGCCTTCAAGAATCTCAATTAGCCTTCCTCACTGTAGGGCAAGGGGAGCCAAGGAAGGGTTTTCCCAGGAAGGAGCCTTGGAAGTTTATAAGGAGAGTGTGTGTGCTTTGTGTTTCTCTATCAAAATAAAAATGTCTATGTTTTCACTTAATATGGGACCAGATCTTCATTCTGAAACTGACCCACACAGCTTTGCCTACTGCCCGTATTCACAACTTGCATCCTTTCCACTGTAAACCCCTCACTGGTTGTGCAAGGCATAGACACGGGGTGGGGGGTGGGGTTTCAGATTGGGAGGGAGAGGAGAGACTGGAAGAAGTTGAGCC